TTGACACGTCCGATTGTACTAGTCAATGGTTTTTTGTCCCTTCGCAATCGATCGGATCAGTCCTTTTCGTTTGATCTCCATGTTTCCTTTCCAACTATTCGACGCATGACCCCTTTCAACAAAGCAATGGATGTCAAGTTTATACATCGCGAAAAAATAAGAATAAATAAAATAAATCGAATTTATCGAGATTACATCTTTAATTTTTCCAAAGTCAAATACGATACGCCTGAATCCCGGAAAATAATGTAATTATATGTAAATTACAAAAATTTTTGTTTTTTATTTTGATGTCAGAAGAAATGAATTTCACAATATTTGAATAGAATTTATTGTGCATTAATGTGATTTATAAATTAATGAATGATAGCAAATAAAATATTTCAATTAGCTATTTTCAACGATTTTTCATATAATTTGTATCCGTATATGAAGCGTTAAATCGCTTTCAGCAAATAAACACTTCAAATATCAAATTTTCTTTGCATAAAAAATAACAAATACAACTATATTTTGTAATTGTAAATAAGTTTTGTATGAAAGAATTCCTTAAAATACTTTATACGAAATAGTTATCAAAGTAATTGATTAAATATTCGTTTTGGAATCACATATTTTTCAATAGCATTGACATTATAATTTATAAAATTATATTCCCATGAATATTAATAATAAGAATGACAATATTTGTTATTATTTACTATATTTAAAGCGACTATTAAATAATATATAATATTCAACAATAGAAAAAAAGTGTAACTTTGAGATGCACGAATAAACTAATAATTTAACGATATACTAGTATATTTCTGTAGAAAAAAAAAATGAAATTACAAGTGTATAATAATGTACATATTTACTTATGTACTCACGGAACCTAAGCTTTTGTGAATGTTCAGTCTAAATTTCTTAATGCTTAAAATGTTTAACTAAATAATTTTTCTATTAACAATATCTTATAATATATTAACGTGTTTGTTAAAAATCTTTTTCCTTTTATAATTGATTAATCTTAAGTCTACCTGGATGGATGATTGTATGATAATGTAATAAAAACTTATTCTAAATTAATTCCTGTTAAATCTTAAAATTTTCTCATATTAAAATGATAAATTTGGCTAATTGATTTTTATTTATTACAACTTTTTCCGCATTCAAAATATATAATACGAAGGCTTATTATATACAAAAAATTCATTTAATAGTTAGAAAAAGTTAAGAATAATTGGAATTAGAGAAAGTATAAATTAAGTCTTGAAAAAACTAATATATTAAGGTAACTATTACTATAATACACCCTACGTTGTCGAATAGTTATCTGTAACTTCCGCTTACATCATTTTACGAATCTTATCTAGAAGAATAACGCGCGATAGACTGAATTCTTACAAATAAACATACATTTCTTAAGAAGAAAATATAATATATCTAAATGTCTTTTTCATTATAGGAATATGTTTTCCCTCTTACTTCTTTTCTTCATTTATAAGAAAATCTTTTTTTATACATTTTTATTTCAATGTGTCTACTATATAGACGTTGACATCTATAAAAAGCACTTTTAACTTTAAAATTTTATGCAAAATTTTATTTATAATATAAGCTCACCTAAAATTTTAATAACTTATGTTTAAACAAAAATTTATTCTAGTTAAATATTATCCTTTTTTTTTTTTCTTAAAAAAATAAAGTCCATAATTAACTTAAGAATATAATTTTAAATATATACTCGAAACCATTATCACATATAATATATTAATAACATTAAATAACTAAAAATATACGACAGTTACAGTAAATATTTAATTACTCTTTAATTGATATGATATTTAATGAAATAGACTATTTTTAATTTTTTATATATTGTTATTTCTTGATATGTTATAATTAATTTTTGCATGTAAATTAGCTTAAAAACTTGTTTCCAGATAGTATTCTATTTTATTTTACAATTTTCCAAGACTATCTTTTCAAATTTGACATTCATTCTTAAAAGTATTTTAATTACAATTTCTCAACTAATAATTTAATCATTTTCCATATATTATTCCATATATTATTTTAGTAATTGACTTCATATATAAAATATTAAAAGAAATAATGGAACTATAAAGTTTGAGTTTATAATGTTGTACACTTTTTTAATATTATTAATAGCCGAAAACTCTTTAATTACTTAGAAAATAATCTATATTTAATAGGTTTTTTTTACGAGTAGTTATTTAAATATTTAATGTAAGTTATTTAAATAAAAATCATAAAAATGGGATTAAATATATTTTATCTTACGTACACAATAAGTACATCCGCATGTATAAAAAACAAAACTACTATATTCATTTTTTTACGTCAATTCGACCAAATTTTTAATTATAATCAATACCATAGTGTATTAAGCATTTAGGATTTTCTAATAATATGTAAATAATGTTTTTTTTTTGTAATTTAAATGATTGTTATTTTTTTTTAAATCCTTTCTACGTAAAAATTAGATTTTTTAATACTTTGAAAATGTATTATATTTTATATTGTATATCTATTGTCATGTAAAATATGTATATTTTTGAAATCTAAGATTTTTCTAATTGTATAATTAAACAAAACTTTTAAAAGTAAATCCATTCTAAAAATTAAACAAATTTTTAATATAATGTTCATTCATTATTATTTTATATTAACATAATATCAAAAGCTTTATACTTCCATAAATTATCTAAACAAATAAAAAAAATTAAAAAAAAAATTTTATTCATATGTTTAAATTTCAATATAAAATGTAAAAATGCAAAGTACTAATTTAAATAAAATACATTTATTTAATTATATATCCAAAACTAATTAACAATATATCATTATTTAAAAATGTAATTTGTTGTATAGAAATAACACAATTATTTTTCCAAATTATTAACCATCTAATATTTCATTAAATACACTGTTAAGAATATTTAAATTACTGTAATAAAAACTTTGTTAAATAATAATTTAAAATAGTTTGTTTATATGTATTAATATTATGAAAAAAATGCAATAATAAATTATTCTATTAGCTTTTTTTAGTATGTTAGTAGAATTTAAAATATAAATCTACACTTAAAAATATTCAATTTTTATTATTAAAATATCTTTGTTAAATTTATTCAACGTACGAATACGTCGTTATTATAATGCTACTATTTAATTAACGTAATCTACTTATTTAAATGAAAATTAGAGCAAATTTTTGTGCTACTTGAATAATTTAGAATTATTTTTAAAATTTTAGCATATCTTAATAGAAATTTGATAATAATATGGGATATACACACATTACTCTAAAATATTTAGTTATCGGATTACAATGTATATCAATAAGCATAAATTAAAAATATAAATTAATTATTAAATTTGACCAAATAATTCATAATTTTCTATCATCTTACTTAATTAAAAAAAAATAAGATTCTATGTTAGTTTTTTTATTGTTTGAAAACTGATAATTAAATATATAATATTATTTACATATTATATATGTTTCTAATTCACATTAATGTTCGTCGGTTCTATACCTTCGAAAAAAGGTTACTCAATAATAAATAAACTTATCAATATATTCTAACTATTTTCCATTGATATTGTAAAACTATTTAGTGATCAATACATTTACACACTTATTGTTCTGCAAACAAGCGGATCACATCGATTTACAAGCTACAAACATTTAAATATTATGATCAAAATCGTTATTGAATATCAGAAAATATATTTCAAATTGTTTAATTAATTTGTTATTTCGTTATTGTATTTCCGTGTTGTGAAATAAAACAATTAATAGAATTTACAAAAGGTTTTTGAGAATGCAGATATAAGTAAGAAATTTTTTTTATCTCATTATTATTATATATAATTATTAAAATAAAATTATAAAATTATATTGAAATGTCTAGATGAATAAAAAAATATTTAATCCTCGTATGAGGATATGATAACAACGTATAATTAATAAGCAACTGAAGATCCCAAACAATTTTAAGATTTTTTTGCATTTACAAAAAAGATATAGCGTACTTACTTTTCAATAAAAAATATTAATACATGAATATTTTAATATAAAATTTAAATATATATATATATATATTAATAATTGCACATAATTAATGGTAAAAAAATTAATCGTAAAAAAATTCTATAAAAAAATTTAATTTTTGTAAAACCGAAATTGAGATTATATATTTTTAATCAGCTAATACATAATTTTCCTTCGTTTAATTATTAATATAATTAAATGTTATTATTGATCTGAAAAGACATAAACGTATTCAAACTTATCGTTATATTGAATATTTTAATACTGTTATTAAAAATTATTAAATTAAAAGCTTATTGTTTATTGTTACTAATACATAATAAAATAATGTATACATAATGGAAGATGTAAAATATTTTATACATTGCAACACATTTTTTATGTTTTATAATTCAAAAAATATGAATGTCTGCAAATTTAGATAATTATTACAATTTATTATAATAGATAACACCTAAAATAGATATTTAATATTCCTTCTCTCTATATCCATAAAAGAATATTTATTACGATAGATTTGTATGTATACTTATATACGTATTTTTAAAAAATATTATAGATCGAAAAATTCATAAATTAATATCACGTTCTATTAATATTATATAAAATAAATGAATCAAAGTACTTAACATAGAATTACAGTTGTTTAATTACAATATTATCTTTCGAGCTGTGAATTTGTTTTTCCATTGGAACTGATAGATTAAAGAAGATGGAAATTCATTCTTGATCATTATGCTCTAATATCTGCATTTGTGCATAAAACTACAAAGATTATAAAATTAAAATGTATTTTATATGCACATTATATAAATTTATATCTATTTCCAACATAATAAATATTACCTCATCTATCCTATAAGCTACGCCGAATTTATGAATAGGTAATAATTCCTTATCATATTTATCAATTTAGATACATATATATTGGATTCAGTAAAATTTTTTATTATCATTCGCCAACATGAAAGTTCAAACAGTTATTTATTTGTGTGTAATATTTTATCCTAGTAAGTAGTATTTATGTTCCTAAGATAAACTACTAATATAATTATTAATATCCTAAAAAGTAATATACTCTATTCGATTGTCTTAACATAATTTCAATTTAATTTTCCAACTATTTAATTAAAATAACACACACACATATATATATATATATATATATATATATATATATAGATGTATATAAATAAAAAATTTTTTCAAATAAACGTATACATAATTTTAAATACATTATTACATAGTGTAATTATTAACGTAATTGTTAATTATAATAAATTATATACAGATTTAATTATATTATTTGTAAATATAGATAATTATAATAGTAGAGATTCTTTAAAATTCTTTAAATTAAACCATAATCGAAATATCAAATTTTTTTTATAAATTATGCAAATTGTCAAAAGTTTATTGTACGTTATTATATTAAGTTGTAGAAAGTAATAATTTTTTTTTTTTAATATAACGCACATTAATATTTATTATTTATAATGATGAATCGAATGGTTAGAAATTATATAAAAATTTCATAGATATTTTATAGAAATAGTGAGAGAATATATCGATTATACATCTTATTCTACTGGATTATTTATTTCTTATTATTAGATTACGTAGATTAATCATATTTTTAAGTTATAAATCTAATAAAGATTCAAATTAATTATTTAAATTATTGAGTTTATAACATTGAGTAGTTCGACTGAATATTCGCTGATGATATTAAAAGTAAATTTATAAATATCAATCAATATTTTTCTTTCAACAGAGATCGAGTAGAATGTAAATGTATGATTTAAAATGTAGATATAATCATAATAAAATCAATATATTTTGTAAAAACTTAAATACAATGACAATATACTGGAATATATACGTACATGGACATGAGATAATAATATTAAAGCTTCCTTAAAATAAATTAAGTCCAAGCAATATTATTCCTTATTTCTATTAGTTAAATAAATTAAATTTGTTTAATATTACATAATAGTTGATTTTTAGTTGTTTTCGCTAAGAGTGTGAAAATTATTGGTGGTACCGTAGCAGACATCAGAGAATTTCCATATATGGCATCATTTAGATATCCTAACGGAGTACTTTTTTGTGCTGGTACTATTATTAGTAACCGACATATTCTAACAGCAGCTCACTGCTTCGAGTTTTCCAATACTTTTGATGAAATGAAAATATGTACAGGAACGAGTGAATTGAAAAATTGCTCTGGAACACTACATAAGCCGAAGCATATCGAAATCCATCCAGAGTTTACAGGAGAAATGTCAGAGACGTCGAAAGTACATCATGATTTAGCTGTTGTTACGGTTTGTATAAATTAATTTTTAATCAATTTTATCGCACACTTTCTAAAAAATAATACGTAGAAAACTTTCTCTATGTGTTTTAAAACCAATCATATAAGAATAATGTAAGCGTATGATTTTTATTTTGACATTACTTGATTTTATTTTCCCTCATAAAAAAAAATAATAATAGTCAAATGTTCGCTTTATAATTTTATTGAATTTCTTTAATCCTATTATCTTCTCTATTATCAAAAGAAACTAATTATATTATTGACTCATCTTTATTATAAATTTAATGAACAGTTTTTGCTTAAATTTATTAAAATTATAAAACATTAAAATTTTGTAATTTTGTGATTACAATGTGATAATAAAATTTTAAACCATCGATTAATTGACTATTTATAATACAATAGTTATTACAGCAATTATTTATTACAGATGTTATTAAATATATTAGTATCTAAGAGATAATCAATGCGTATATAAAAAGACGCTGATAAATTTCATTGTTCTATCGGTATATTGGCTATCATTAATTAAACTTTTTTTTTCCTCCATAGAAATAGATTTTAACTTAAAAATTGATATTTCTGCAGGTAAATAAATGTATTAAATTCAATGAAGTTCAAAATAAGATAAACCTTCCCACGATCGATGTTTTACCAGGCGCTAATGCTGTATTTAGCGGATGGGGTAAGACATCTTATCCAATGTTTGATCTCTCGGCAGAACTGCGAAAAGCTTCTACGAAAATTCTTAGTAATTCTGAATGTTCGAATATTCAAGAATTTAGTGTTCATGCTGAACAAATTTGTGCCTATGAAAAGGATGGAGTCGGTGCATGTGATGTAAGTTTTATAAAATCTTTGGACTAATGAAATGGATAATAATAAATTAATGATTATGAACATTATAATTCATTATTTTTTGTAAAAAAGTTAATTGGTAATTCATCAGTTCTTAGTAGAATTTTCTAATTAATTACATTATTTTGAATTGGATTTCAATTATCCATTATGTGAATTTGTGCGTACGTGTGCGTGTGTGCTCGTAGGTAATACACATAATATAGTTACTGACATTATTTAATTAGAATAATAATATAAAGCTCTTTACTGTTCTTTTAAATATTTTTTTTTTTTTATAACATTACAGGGTGATAGTGGAGGGCCATTGGTAAGCGATGGAAAACTCGTAGGTATTGCTTCATTTGTCACTCCATGTGCCAAAGGTTATCCCGATGTATATACCAGAGTCTATTTATATCTAGATTTTATTAAATCCGCTATGAATACACAGTGTGTAAAATGTTATTGTTAATTTATAAAAATTGTATATAAAAAACAAGTAAAATTTAAAAATTACATAAATTTGTAAACATCTATTTTACAGATAGTATAATTTATTGTAAACAATAATAATGAATTTAATGCGGACTATTTTTAATAAAATTATTTTAAAAAACGCATGTGTATATGACATACAAAATTATACCACTACATTTGTACAAATTTAAATGTATAATAATGTATGATTATTAATATATTATTTTAGTTATATGATAAATATATTGTGTTTTATTATTCCTTACAATTATGTATGTACATATGAAAATTTCGATAGAACGTAGATTGTACAAAAAAATTATCTTCTTTAAAAATTTTTCGTTTAAAATTTCTATTAAAATTAGAATACTACATCTTACTTCATTTCTTCCTGATGTACATTATAATACTTTATTGAAATTAAGAAATAAATATCAATTTACAAGATTTATCAGTGTCTTTAAATGGATAATCAATTTATCCTATTATAACAGATAATAACCTGTTTAGGAGTGTTGAATAAGTTTTGATGAGTCAGCTAATGCGTAATAGGGGATTTCAACGTAATTGAAAATGGAAGCGCCGAGTATGTAGAATCGGTGCAAGAGAAGAAGCAAAGAAGTTTCAAATTTTAGTCGCCAAAGTGCGATGAGTATGGTACAGTTGGCTGACAAAAGAATGGCCACGACAGAATTAAGACAAAAAAATTATGAAGAAAATGATGGATGGTTATTAGCTAAAACGAGACATTCGCATATTGGTCAGCGTTATCGCACAGATCCCTTGAAATCTAAGTTTTAAATCTAAGAAATTATTTTAAATCTGCTTTCTCTCTCTCTCTCTCTCTCTCTCTCTCTCTCCATTGGATACTTTATTACAACATCTTACTAGATGCATGTATATATGCATATATATTGAGAGAAGATAAAACCTTAAAAATTGAAATAAGTCCAAACAATGGAATAATGCTTTGGGAGAGATTATTATTTTAGAAATTTATAAATGTATTTATTACATCTTTGATTTACATTTCATAGATATAAAGAAAATGTAATGGGATATGTTATTAAAGAAAATTACATAATTATGTTCAAAGAATAATGATTTAAATGTTGATTATACAATTTTATTTTACAGTTGCATAGAATCGATTATATTTTGTTATTCTTTCATAACTTTAATTTCAAACGAACAGAGTCGTCTCTTAAAACACATTTTATTTTTATATTTAATTTCACACTGTTCGATATAATATAAAGTATGTACGTCTTCATTACTTGTAAGAATTACTATATTAGAAGCTTCAAAAATAGTTTCCATTTTTCATTTATATTATATATATAAATAAATTTAACTTTAAATTTATGTAGAAATGATTCATCGATCAAATATATATATAAATTGGTTTAATTATTTGAAATATATTCGTTCAGTGGTATCTTCATAAATCTATAGACAAGAAGATGATCGAATTACATAAAAGAAAGAATTTTGCAGTTCATCAAATTGATTTTCAAAATTTATCAAAATAGTCATGAATTCCATTATAGCTTTATTTATTTTAGTAAAAATATTTTTTTTTAAGTTCATAAAAGAAATACATTGATCATTCATTCATTTAACTCAATTATACGTACAACATTAGTAGATGCAATAATGATAATTAATATAATATATAAATTACTTTCAAATATACCTTCAATTTCATTTTAATAATATAATTGTGAAATATATTAGAAATAAGAAAAAGCATGTATTTAATTTTTACGAATTGCATTGTAATATTAGATGGAATTTGTATGATTGTTCAACCAAAGATGGTAGCTTTTAAGCCGTGTTTGAATCACAAAGAATAAGTATTTAATACAAAGTTGTATACCACATGTAATCTATTTAATGAAGAAATATATAAACAATTTTGGATTTGTCGAAATATGGCCACGTAGATAAAAGTCTATATAATGTAAGTACATAATGTGAAAATACGCGGAGGGAGATTTAAATAATAGCCATCACTGTAATATTTTATCTACAACAATATAAATATTCGCTCACCTGGTTATAAATAAACGAAATTAAAAATTTCGAAATTAATTAATGTACAAAAAAACATAATAAAATCGAGGGATATCGGTATATAAATGACTTTACTAAGTCATATATATAAATAAATCTTATTTGAACAGATAGTTTGTCATAATTTTATTATAAATATGGAAATGAAATGATAACAGTTACTATTAATATATACTGATAAAATTATACTATATATTCAATAAGACTCTTATTAATGTAGTATAAATATTAAATATTAAATATAAAAAATGAGTTTTCAATTATGGATTTTTTTCTTTTTAATATTAGCTGCAAGTAAGTTTAATAAATAATCTATATTTAAATAAAAGTAAATTAAACATAAAAATGAACATAATTAACATTCATAAGTATAATTGTGTTAATACTTTATAAAAGTATCAACGTTTATTATTTCTGACAATAATCAAACAACATTACAAAATATTATCTCGTTTATTGATCCATGAAATTTAGGGTAATTAATATCACAATAATCGATTTATCATACAAAAATGAAAGATACAATAAAGGCCAGAAGAAAGTTTATACTTTTGTTCATGAAAATTATTTATAATTTTTGTATTTTGTGCATTGTTAATGATTGTATTTTATAAAATTATGCGTTATAAATTTTGTTAATACTGCAGATATTATAATGTGCCATACTATATATTTTTTATACTTTTCAAGGAAATTATTCCGGATTATTTCCTCAATTTACACGATATTCAAACAAAAAGTTAAATAAATCAATTCACATTTTATCTTAAAACCAAATAAATCATTGTCCAATGGAATTATTAGTATAAAAAATATATATACACTTCAAAATTATGTTATAATATTTTTGTTTAAACTATTAAAGAATTTTGAAAGATCTTATTTTATATATATTTATATAGTTACATGTGCTTTGTATAACCTAATAAATATAAATCTACGTGCATACATTTTTATTTGAAAACTTCATCCTGATAATTAAAATTATACTGCAATTTCTATATTGTGCTCTTCTGCCCATAATAAACTGATGTATATTCATATGAAAATAATTTTAATATTTTATCGATTTAATAGTTCATTAGTTTATCATAATTTCAAATTTCATGTGTTACAGAATTTTTATATAATAATGCACATTCATTGCCAAGAATTCCAGTCAACATTCTTGAAATTGTGTCATGATGTGGTTTTATATTGACATATTTACTTTTTCGAATGAGATTTTTAAAAATTCATACTACTAATATCGTATCGGTTGCATTTTTCAATTCAACACAATAATTCAAATAACATAATTAAATATAAAAATTATTAATAGACAAATTTTAATTCTTGTTTAATAAAATATAAGTAATTTTATATTTACATACTTATATGTATAATTATTTATACATTTATAAATTGTAAAATTATTTAAAGTAATTAAATGGTTATAATCACACTCAACTCATAAGTACTAAAGTATTTTAATTATATAAGATTGTAGCAATTATTTATAAATTAAAGTACTTCTTATCAAATAATTTTAAAAATATTTTACCTTTATTTATTTCAATTAGAAATTTAGTTGTTGATAATTGAACAAAATTGTTTACATCTTCAAACAGTTAGTTTGTTATCGAATTATTTCCTTCTTATCAATATAATTGATAATATATATATATATATATATATATATATATATATAAAAATTCATTAAATAAAATAAAACATTTATATTCTGAAAATTTTATGAAGTTCTTAGCACATTTAAGATTTATCAATATTATCAAAATTGAAAGAAATTCAAGTTAAATAACGAAAGAAATATCATTACATCATACTGTGTTCTTATAAATAAAAAATTTAATTGATGATAAATGATTGATCTTACCCATTTATACGATTTTGTGAAAACTATCAAAAATTAATGCGCACATTTCTAAAAAATAATCGTCTGTATATGTCAATTTTAATAAGTTTACTAGCTAGTTTCATCGAATAAATGTATGAATCGACTGGTAACTCACGTGGCATAAATAATATTGATAAATGCAATATCAACTAGCAAAAAATGTCAATAGCGTTCAAATATAATATCTCCATTTCAATTACTAGATAACATTATATCACCTAATCATAAATTAGGGTATTGAAAATTTTACCACCAATTAACATTATAAAATTGATGTAATAATAGAATTAAATAATATCAATAAATAAATAAATTTTTCGTAGTCATACGTGTAAATAAATTTTATTTGAACAGATACTTTTTCATAATCTCTTTATAAATATGAAAATAATATAAAATGATAACAGTATTATTAACATATACAGGGAAATTTTTGTACATATTTAATGAGATTTTCAGTGAAGTAGTCTAAATATTAAATATTGAATAGAAAAAATGGGCTCATTATTATTGATTTTTTTCTGTTTAATAGTATTAACTACAAGTAAGTCTATTAAATAATCTATGCTTAAAAAATCTTTGCTATTATTATTGATTTTAACTCTATTATTATTAAATATTTTAATTCTATATTAACTTTTTACTAAAATAGATAAGCCATGATATATGTAAAATTAAACAAATAATTTTAAAGTTTGTTTTAATGGTCCAGAAAATTTAGGGTAGTCAATAATTATAATACAGTTAAGATCTAAATAATTCATTTATATAATAATTATGAAATATTAAAACAATTTAACATGTTAATTTTGAATATTGTGTAACAATATTTATAATAATTTCTAATTGTGCTTTAACAGATTAAAATTCTATTATATTTCATGTCACATATATTTCATATGCAAGCTATTACATGTTATTAAATAATAAAAAAAGAAATATTTATCTATATATATGTATGTATCTATATATATGTATGTATGTATGTATGTATGTATGTATGTATGTATTATAATTGACATATTATTAGATGTGTTTGGACGGAATAGCAGAATCCTCGGTGGCGAAGATGCTGATATACGACATTTCCCATATTTAGCATCGTTAAGACATTTGAATACTGGAGTGCACCGTTGTGGCGGTAGCATCATTAGTAAGTCGCATTTACTTACAGCAGCTCACTGTTTTACTGATATCGAATTCTCGAATATGATTGTGTATGTGGGAACGCATAATTCATCTGACACCTCAGCACCATCTTATAATATCGAAGACCTTGACATTCATCCAGAATTTAGAGATATGATGAAAAAGGACAAGAAAAAAGGGATATTGAACGATGTTGCTGTTGTTACGGTATTACGTGTTTATTCATACGCTATTTTTTATAATAAATCTTATTTCATAAAAGAACAATATTACCGTAACGATGTATCATAATCATGTATCATAATGAAAAGTATTTCTTGTTTAAAATTTTCCCTGCAATTTATTGATTTAAAAATTGATTGTTCTTAAATCTTAAATGTAAAACTCTGAAACTTAAATCTAAATTTTTAATTTATAGAAAGGAATTATCTTTTTTTCTCTTTTTCTTCAATTTTTGTTTAGAATATTTTTATGTTTAGAATGTTTAGAATTTTATTTAAAATATCTTGCATAGAATATATTATCAATGAATTTATTTTTCAAATGATACCGTTACTTATGTATATGCATTGCATTTTACAAATAATAAATATAATTAATTTTGTTCTTATGAGATTGTTTTTATTGAAAAAAAAAAAAAAAAAAGTGAATTTCGTTTATATACATAACTATTTTTATTTAAATTTACAAAATTATTTGCTGCATCTAATAACACAAGTTTTTTTCTTATAATTGAGAGTGACACTAAATTTCTAAAAACCAATGTGATTATTGATCAATAATTATTTAAATATTTTGTATTATTTATCATTTAATTGTTTGCAGCTTAATAGGAGTTTAGAATTTAACGAATTTGTAAATAAAATTCGTCTTCCAAGGACAAACGTTGTTGCTGACAGTAGGGTTGTAGTTGTTGGTTGGGGAAAGACAGCCGTAAACAATGTAAACTTTAGCCAAAAATTACAAAAAATTTCTATGAGAGTTTTAAAAAATTCTGTTTGCGAAGAAGCTCTTCCATTTTACCTTCAAATACAACAGTTGTGTACATATAATAGTGTGGGAATTGGTGTATGCATAGTGAGTTTAATTAATATTTTTAAACTAATGAAATCAATAAAAATTTATAGAGTTAAATGTAGAAGATTTTGTCGATCTTTATTAATTTTTGTATTTAGATTTCCCAAGTTTACCATATATTCCATCGATATATTTTTGTTTCATACCTAATTTACTTATTTACATCATTAATAAGCCAATATGTTAATATTTAGTAGTACATAAAATAAACTTATAAGAAATTTAAGTTAAATTTATCTGAATAGTATGAAAGATGAACGTTTATGACAGTGAATTAATTGATGAAAAAGACGTTTAAAAATAGATTTTACATTAATTTTAAATGAAGGCTTTACAAAGTTTGAATAATAAATGATAATATTTACAAAGTGAATAATTATTAGTATAATTACATCTGAATACTAAAATTTCTTACTTTCACATCTTACATGCATTTTAAGTAACAATATTTTATAGTATTAATAATAAAAATCTTCTGAAAACTAAATTAATAATGAAATTTCAGGGCGATAGTGGCGGACCGCTGATACATGATAACATTTTGGTTGGCATAATTTCTTATATTAATCCATGTGCTATAGGTTATCCTGATGTATCTTCTAGAACTTTTTATTATATGGATTTTATAAAAAGCGTACTGAATAAATCAAATAAAATAAATTGTTGTACATCTTAATAAAACAGTACATAAAGAAACTACGAATATAAAATGAACATTTTTATACCAATTTATATAAACTTCATTTATATTATTTTTAAGGAAAACAATACTGTAAGAATTATTTTTTATTTTATTCAATGCAAATATATCATATTAAATATTTTCTTCAACAAAATGTCTTTCAATATTTATGAATAAAATATAATTCTGATAGCAATCTCTTATTTCCAAAGACCTACTTTTATGCTTTACAGCTCATTAAAATAAATATTCTACTTTATAGAATAAGATTTAAAACAAAAAGCAAAACAAAAAAACTAAATTAAACAAATTAACGTATTTGCTACAGTAAATATAAGCATTATAATTACTATGTATATGGTCAACATTGAGTATTCTATATAATTTATTATTGTTTAAATCCAAATAATCATGTATTTCGGATCATTTATAAACTGAGCGTATTATTTACGTCTATTACACGATATTGGAAAAAAGTATCAGCTATTTTTAATTTCTATATTTGATTAATAATACTTGTATATTCATCGTATAATTGATTATACCATATATATGGATATAATGATTAATATTCGTTTTCCCCTACTCAAAATAATTTGCTTTATGTATATTCTTGTAAATTTATTTATAAGTTACATTTTCATAAATTACTATATCTTTAATATATATATATATATATATATATATATATATATATATATATATATATATATATATATATGTAGTGTACATAGAGTATAAATATTGATTTTACATACGAAAATAGTATGCATATTTAATAATATTCGATGAATATAATTGTAGTTTACTAGTAAAATAAACTGATACTTCAATATTAAAATACTGATATAAAATAGTTTATTGATTAATTGTAAATAAAGCAAATATATTTTATAAATACAGCATTTTTGTCAAAATTATTGATAATATAATTATAAAGAAAGGTGCTTTTTGTTGTTTGTACAGTCTTAATTCATATAAGTACAATTAGCTGCTATAAATTCATAACAGATATTTTACTTTAAGAAATATTTTACTATTAATGTAAATTATATAACATTAAATTAACATATATAAAACATTAACATTATATAAATTATATAATTTATTTAAATCATTAGAAATCAAGTACAGCGCAAAAATTTCCATTCAATTAATAGAACATTTATTGTACGTTTTATATATAATACATTAACGCATATTAGTTTCTTTTTGCAAATTTTAATTTTTAATTGTTTATTACAACAAAAAATGTGATGGCAAGAGATAAGGTTACAAATAATTTTTTCATCCCTTATATATGTATATGAACTAAATTTGATAACAATTTTAAAAAGATAAGCTATTAGTTAAGTACACGAGACATTTCACTATCAAAAAAGTCAATTTTCTGAAAATGAATTAAAAAATTACAAGTTCGAACCTAGTACGTGAATTATAAAAGGGGAAACAGTATACAAGATTTCCATTCTATACTACGTTATATTTAATTAAATTATACACTTATAATATTATTCAATTTATTATTATGTGATTATATAAAATTATAATAATAATGCTTTGTAAGATTCTATATACAATACAATATTTATAACATAGTTATAATAAAAATCGATGCTCATTTGTATGTGTGCAATTAAATGTATCTTGAATTGAGGAAAAATGTAGCAAGAAATTGAAAGAGAGAGAGAGAGAGAGAGAGAGATTATTATTCTAGATTGAATATTAGTTCAGTGCAATATTGCTGTTGTATACCCGAGGCCAAAAGCTTCTCATATTGAACAGCGACAATGCTTCTTACAATAGAGATAGTACAATATAGAAATATTGTACTTATTCCTACGTGAAATAACTGTATGGGGTATGAGAAAGGAAGAATATACAATGGCAATGAAAATTCAACTTATTCAATCGATTGACCTCTTGAATAATAATTATTCAGTAACGTAGAAATTGTAAATACTAATGACATGGAGATTAATTGGATTGGAGATCTATTTAATCTTAATGAATTAATTTTTAATTTAAGAGAATATAAAATTTTCATTACGTTTCAATATTGAGCAACGATGGTTTACATACGATAGCTCACAACGATTATCACAATCAATGATTTTACTTATAAGAACAGTTTTTAAAATATTTATTTATAAGTAAAATATACAATATAGATTTTATTGTTAAAAAATACAACTACTATAAGCATTCGTTGTTATGGGTGATGTATTAGTAATTGATAATTATTTAATCATAAATATATTATTATAAGCAATAATTATTCAACTTAGCTAAGTAAGATGATGTATATAATAAATATAATAGTTAAAATATATATCTGATATTTAAAAATTTGGTATGCAACACTTGTTGCTTCGGTTCTCAAGTTACCTATTTCCGTTAGTGACCAATGTAGAGTACTCGATTAACTTCTATTGCTAAAGTATAAGTGTATACTGGCCATTAAAGTTACCTATTCACATAGCACAGTGTCATGCTTTTCTTCGCTTGACAATTTCTCCACATAAAACATCCGAAACATACAAAAAAAAACCAACAAAAAAAAAACACCAAAACATTTGTCTATCATATGTTCTTTTCATCAAATAAACTTTTTTCGTGTAACAGCCGTTACGATTATTTTTAGATATTTCATTAAATAAATATTATATTACGAAATATTTATATTTCTCAGTAAATAGGCTTATCGCCAGTCTCCCTACACCGTACAAACTAATTTTCATCTCACCGTTCGTCGCACCACTATTAAATAATTGAATAATAAAAGGCCCGTATTAGTAACTTAATACTAAAAAGCTAAAACAACAACGAACTAAATCAATGACAATGGTGAAAGCCTTAACAAAAAAAAAATAAAATCATAGTCAAATAACAACAATAATAATAATAATAATAAAAAAAAAAAAAAAAAAAATCTCGGACAAAACAGTTCGAAAATAGAGAGCCGGCGACCTTCCTCAGTAACGGCTGTATAAGCCACGGCGTAAACGAGACGTATTGTTCCGCCGTCTCGTCAATCTATACGGATCTCCTTCCCGGCAAATCGAATTTTACTTTGCTCGAGAGACGCGAGGACATTCCGCATTCCGCGCGGCGCCTCATCGCCATATCAAAATAGAGGCGCACGCGCCACAATAACTTATTCCGCAGGCCCCCGAATAAAATGACGAGAGGGTTGGATTTTAGTATTTTACAGAGTCCCGCTCGACTTACACACGATGAATACATCAAATGCCGCTGGCCGATGCACCCGTGTGACTTGAATACTCTAGGAGAAAGTGCGCGAGCAGCCCTGAAACGACATGTACGGCGAATACAGCGCGAGCTTGTCTCTCTTTTGCATCGTTTCCCTTTTTAAAGCTCAAAATATCGTTCTTTGGACAATAAGAGATGCAAAATTCGGCGCTAACGCGATATCATTGCTTCGAGGTCGATAGAGACGTCATATGTAATGAAATTATTAGATTTACTTTCTATTTGGTATGTTATCGACGATATTGTTTTATTTGAGTATGCTAAGATTGAAAAATTATTGAAGAATTATGCATAATTCATTGACGTAAAAAATAATTTTTCTCAAAACTATTTATAATAATATATACATGTAGATAAAACATAATTATATCGCAATTCTCGCGCGCGCATACACACAGCCACACACTGACATGTAGACCGTTTTTAATATTGGAATTAATATTTTTTATAATAATTTTATTATTTTAATGTTCGAACAGATCTTGGCAACGGTAACATTTGCTTTCTTTTTAAATAATGTTTATTTATACAAAATAAGAGAGAGAGAGAGAGAGAGAGAGAGAGAGAGAAGATTATTCAATAAAGCAGCAGCAGTAGCAGCAGAAGCGGAAGCAGCAGTAACAGTAGGAACAGTAGTAGCTGTGGACGCTCACTAGATAAAAGGAAAACAAAACGCCGGGCGTGACGATTAACAGAAACAATTCGCTCGACAATAGTGTAATCAACGAGCTTTTCAGCAGTGGTGCATCCCTGTCACCTTGGTAATGGCAACGATGGTGCCACGTTGCTCATTGTTTCCACGTGACACATTGTTTCATTTGGTTCCCCAATAACATTCGTCTCTATAACTCATAAGTTCCACCTTTCGAATATTCAGGTTGCACCAGTGACGAGCTAAATGTCCACCTAAATATTATTTACATTTTTAATAACTTTCTTTTTTTTTTCTTTTTTTTTTTTCTGCTTTATTTACATCGCAAGAGGACTGATGACAAATACTATCTTAAATGAAGTAGGATTTGAAAGTATATTTCGAAATAATCTATGATTAATGGACAAATTGAATAAAAAAAAAACTAACATAACATAGCCTGTTGCAAAAATAAGCAACTATTAGTCAAGAATGAAAATACCAGGCCTCCATTCTTTTTAAGGATTTTATTTATAAAAAATTATAAATTTTCCTTTTAGACTCTACTTAATAATGATGTATTTCATATGTTTCATATATAATCAAAAAATCGAAAAATACTTATACGAAAAGTCGTTAAAAAAGGGACAACGTGCGATTGAAGAGAATATAGTCGCACAACGAGAAAAATAATAATGAGATTTTTCGAATCAAATGATATGTAGATGTAATAAAAGTAAAATTGTAATGACATATGTTAAATTTTACATTATTTTTTTAAATACTTTAAATCTCAACACATTCACATAAAAACCTCATTGCAAAATTTAATTCGTTTATCTTACATGTTATCTTTTACATTTGTATTGATATAGATTTTCAAAAAAAATTTATGACTATCTTTGAATTAGCATACTACATGAAATTTACGTCACCGATTAGGTTTAATTTACCTAATTACCGATACAATTAATATACAATCAACCATACGATTTCTGTCGCAATAATAGACTTTCATATGTAATCTAATGTAATCGTAATGTACATTATTATTATTATTATTATTATTATTATTATTATTATTATTAT